GGCTCATGTGAAATTCATGTGTCCGGGGACCTTGCGACGGTGGCTTGAGGGGGGGAAGACGGCTCGGCTTTGATGCCTGCCACGGTTGGTCACGTGAGCTCGAGAGCAGCATAACCCGACTGTGCGTCGCGCTCTTAACTGGGATTATTCAAGCGAGGTTGTCATGACCAGGCCCCCCACCCCCCACCCCATTGTCCGTGATGAGGCGTGATATTTATTTTATCTTTTGTGCTTCAAAGCCAGAGATGCATGAACACTGATGGCAGCTTCAGGGCCCAATTTTAGTTGAGGAATTGGGGGGGCAAATGGATATTTTTCCAGGGCCCAAAACTCCACAGAGGCCTGAGGTCAATCACTATTGGGGAACTTTGTAATTACCCCAAGGTATCACGATCCATTTGATTTGTGATATAGTATTTAACAATGTCGTATATCAGTTTCATTTATTTAACGGTAGGTTGTATTTCTTTTAATATGTTTATTCCCTTTAGTTCGACGTCATAGTGATGAATCCATTCCAAAATATGAGTAGAGTTATTATTTCAGCAAATATTGAATGGGCACTTGTGAAACACACTTGTTTTCCAAAAAGTTAAAGTGTAGAGAACAAACGTTTACAGTGGAAAGGAAGGTAACGCACGTCTCTCGTGACATACGTGTAAATGTGAAGTGACATATGCAGGAGACATGTCAGATGAAACGTGAAAAACGGCGAGATTGACAGAAATTTTTACGAGCTCGGCCAACGCAGAGGTGGCTTTTAGCCAATTACATATTAGGTACGATCGTGACAGCATGATCTAAAATTTCAGAGAGGGCAGGGGATGGCCAGAGCTAAAAGCTGCTTACGTTACAACCCTTGGGGACCATCGCGAGAACCCCCACTTACCTCCCAGCTGCCCTCGCAGGCGGCGTGGGACGCGAACATTTACGGGGTACACGCGCGCGCACTCGGTCCAGCGGTGTGTCCTGCCACTGGGGTTGTGCCGTTCGTTGCGAAATATGTCCGGAGGAGGGTGTTTTCCGTGCAATTAGAGGGAACGAGGAGACAAATTTTTCACTGTTCGATATTGATCACCGTCAGCCGGGCCAAAGGCTGTGATGTCTTTTAATGACACTGCTCCCTCGGTGACTCATTCTGAAGGAAAAACCCCAGCGCTAGAGTGCTGTGTCCTATGATCCACCGTTGAGCTCGCTTATGTGGCTGTATATACATATGTTTAACTTTTTTTTGCACCGTACCTAGCAACCCATGCTAATCGGAGATGCAGTCTGGTCTCCTTGTCTCACTGAAAGATAAATGTCACGTGGGTACTAAGTAGCGTGTCAGCTGTTGTCCCTTTTCTTTTATTCGTGACGCTCTCTTCACGTCATCGTTGAGACGGGGGTGGTGGGGTACACAACTAGCAGCGTGTGTCAAGGTTTCTTACAAAATTAAACTCTGTAAATTAAAAGAAAAGGCCCTCATAACAGAAAATAACCGCGTGTTATACGTCGGCACGTACTAGACAATTAAATAATAACCCTACTCCTACGTAGGCTTTCGTTGTTTCACTTCACGCATTGGGAGCTTCTTCAGGATGCGAATCGAGATGATTACGTTATCCCTTGGGAATGCGGCGTCATCATCAAGGGGAAATGTGGGAGCTGCTCAGTTCACTTTTTAGTAGAAACCTCCCAGCATGGGGAGCAAAGTGTCGGATTAACACGTGGGGTTTTCGCGACCAATATTATCCATCAGTGTTTTTTTTGCGGTGAGATCTCGGTTATATTAATGTGTCGTTAAACCCGCCACCACCCGACACATTTATATTTATAATTGGCTGTGTCGGGTGATGGCGGGCTTAACGACACATTTATATTCACGAGATATAACCCCGCTCCCCTAAAAAAACCTCACTTATGGAAAGTGTCGGATATCGTGCCAGTGAACACGTGGTGCAACCTGAAAGCACTTCGGTGAGCAATATAACCCTGTTTGTCACGCAGTACGTTCCATGTACAGCCTGGGCAGAGTGGCAGCATCTGACTCGGGGGAGAGGGTGGGGGCGAGGGCTTGGACAGAACTTTGAATTCACTCGAGGCCGCGGGCCTCCGCCGCAAGCCTCCCCGTGAATAACTTCGCAGGCAGTGCAGCGCCGCCGTGACAGATAAACGCGCGGCGTGAAGAACGACGCCGAGCGAGACACAGCGGCAGGTCCGGCGTGCAGATCACGCGACGGGCGACGTCTCTCTCTCTTTCTCTCTCTCTCTCACCGAGCCGGAGTCTCTCCGTGGCTTGCTTTGTCAACCGATCGCCAGCCACGCGTCTCGTGCAGGGGAATGCGGGGGAGACTCGTAGTTACATTTTGACTTAAAACTTTCGTGACTGCAGGAATTCATATTCTTGGTTCTTTCGGTAAAGTCACGATGAAAAAAATGAAAAAATTAACAATAAAACTAAATAAAATAAAAAATAATAAATTGAAAATAATTGAAGCAAAAAAACCCCACGAAATTTCGATCACAACACAAGCGGTCTCCATCAGTCGGAGAGAAGACCTCTTGTGTTGAGATCCAAACGTCGTGGTTGGTTTTTTGTTTTAATGATTCAAAAAAAAATATTTACATGTTATTTAATTTTATAATTTTTCATTTTTATTTAATTTCACTTTCTTTCTACGTGACTTTACCGAAAGAATCAAGAATATGCGACTCATCGTGTTCGGGGTGGGGCGGGGGGGGGGGAGCTAAGGGGACGGTGCACACGGCCACAGTAACATCGAAAGTTAAAACCACGAGGGGCGGCTGCCACTCTCTCATCCGTTTAATCTTCAATGCGGATCATCGTGTGCAAGGTGAACAGGTGGCTTTAATATCCGGAACGTTTTGGTGCGCTTTCGTGTGCAGTGCCGTTTGGTATTTTTAAAATTATTTTTCGTGACGTTAATTCCATTCGAATTGTCATCAGTTACAATATGTTTATATTGCGTGGACCTTCGTCGTGTATAGAAGACTTACGTGTCTGTATTGCATGAAAGCAAAGGGAGCGGGAGACGGAGCGAGAACGATGCAATGTGTTATAGCGGCGCGCTGAGTCTCATCCTCCGACCCAAAAAGTCAGCGGAAACCTCAGCGATTTGGTGAAGCTCTAAAATACCCGTGAGAAGAATCAATGATTTAACGTTTATTCGCGAAAATAAACAGTTTTCCATCGTTGAAATGCATGTGTGGGTTGTACAGATATACCACACGGGGTGGTATCTTTAAATTACAAAACAAATATTTATAAATTATTAACTATTTTTATTTCACCAGGTAAGGCTCACTGAGCTGTATAGCTCTTTTTCAGAAGCGACCTGGCCATAAATGATAGCTCAACGAAGTGCCTTATCATGTGGAAATTTATAACAGCCAAATACTCTAAACGCATAAACTTGATTTGAAGCTTTCGTGACTGCAGGAATTACTCTTTGGTTCTTTCGGTAAAGTCACGTAGAAAGAAAATAAATTAAATAATAGAATACGACGTTTCGATTGCATCACAAGCAGTCGTTATCAGGTAGAACTAAATTTGAGAGAGAGACAAAACACAGGCACGGGGACACACAGACAGACACACAAGCAGAGAGAGACAACACCGAGAGAGAGAGACAGACAACATAGACACACAGAGACCCAATTTCTCTGTGTCGTGGCCTTAAATAGAGAGGGGGGGGGGGGGCAGAGAGAAAGGTGGGTCTGCTGGAGCAGAGAGATTGGCATGTCAATGAAATGTATAGCAGCCACATACTCTAAACGCATGTTTCTAAATGTGGAGGGAAAACCCGGAGGACCCGGAGAGAAATCCACGCGACCACGGGGAGAGAGAGACATGCAAACTCCAAATATACAGACGTCAGGGTCGGGATCCAACCCACGACCTCCTTGTACACCAAGCGAGGCAGTTAACATCTGGCCACCGTGGCGCCCACTCGTGTCCATGCACGGATTGGGTGGTAGTCCAGGCGATTGAGAAAGCCGCTCACGTGGAAGAGACACGGGCCCACTAATCCTCGCCATCGCACTGAACCTCACACGCCTTTGACAAGCTGGGAAATCTTTGTTCTTTGCAAGCCGCGTATCCTGTGGATGCTTCAAAGCGTCCTCGTCGGGTCTTAACTTCTTGTGAAATACGTTCGTAACGCATGTCTGTGTAGCAGAAATATGACGAGCTAATTAAGGCGAGCAGTGTTAAAATAAATATGATGAGCGCTTAATAGCGAACTTAATTTTTAAAATAAAATATGGCGATGACTGTAACAGCAGAGGGAAATTATTATTAAATACAATACCGTACAATGTGTACATAGCTTGTCAGTACAACTGGATCTGAAGATGGTGTGCAGAAAAAGTGGGCAAATATATTTCCGAGAGAAAGGCAACCAAAGGCACAGGAGAATGAAGACCCTGGCCAGAAGGGAGCTGCAGACAATGGGAGCAGCAAAGGAGAATGAGTGACCCACAACTGAGCGCAGGTTGTCAAGGGAAGGGACTTCAATAAAATTAAAGCCTTGCTTGATGCAGTGTAGAGGGCATGTATCTACTGTATGTTTAACTTCTTTCGCAACTGTACGTAACCAACCGCGCTAATCGCATTGAGGAGAGTAGAGTGAGATGAGAAGGGGGGCGTAGGCAGGGGTGAGCCCACAGAGGGTCTTGAAGCCAGAGAGTGCGATCTTAAAATTTATTTGGGATTGGATTTGGAGCTGGTATTGAATGTCCCCTGATTTAGAGACACCGACGTAAAACTGGGTTGTCCGTGCGTTCTCTCTGCGACGGGTTTCCACGTGCATGAGACACGATCGCACGCTGCTAAGAACAACTCGCACGAGCGTCGGCATCACCTGGCCTTCACCAAGCCATCACCAAGCCTCCGTTGCCGTCGTGTGACCGACTGTGGACAGCAGGCCGTCAATGGCACGGGATGTCTCCACGATTCACACTTCATATTGCCACGACGTCTTTGTGTTTCTTTGCAGAAATATCGACAATATATGGCTGGACTTCTTGCTCCTCCGTATGGGGTGACTGAAGCCACACCTGGAAACGGTACGTTCTCCTCTCTCCCTGGTCCTGTCATGGCCGCTCGCCCACACATCCACGGCGGAGACGGCGCACGGCTGCACATCGCACAGTTCAGCCCAACAGATTTATCCGCGTCGGTTCCACTCAAGTGGGCCGGGTCTCTGTGGCCACGTGCAATTATGGGCTGCAGCGATCGTGGACACGACGTTGATGAGTTTCCGCTTGACATCTCTTGTGCGTTTTGGCATGGGATGGTTTCTGTGCAGCCATGTGTTTTGGAGTCCCGTGTTTACTGTGGGAAGGATTAGAGGTCACTTGAAACACGGCTGCAGACTGCTTTCTTTGTGCGTCAATTTTTTGGGGGGAGTTCACACATTGTGTGGCCTTCCTTGAAAAGCATTCATTATGAATGTTTTCTGTATTGTCTCTTCGCAAAATGGGACCGTTGCTGAATATTTGATCGGCGGGCATTGCTTGGGCAGCTGTTTCACCTGGCCTTACATGCGCGAGAATTGGCTCGAGATGTGCGAGGCCGTGACGCCGCTCATAGACACTCAGTGCTGCCTATCGTGCTCGTAGAATGTACATTGCGAAACCGCGTTATTCCGTGTTTTTTTGTGTCTTTCTATTCATTTATGAGTAGAACAAATTTGATGATCGTATTTTTGCAGTTTTACACCACGATTTTTTAAAAGCATAATGTTGATTATTTGGTCCAATTATGGGATCTGAAATGGGACTGTTCCTTTATTTTGATTTGGTATATAGTTGCTAAAATCGATACCACTCTGTGGGGAGCTGACAGTGGTTGTCCTGTGAAGTGACCAGTCCCCGCCATGAGAATGTTTCCATTACGCCACTGGCTCAGCCGTGTAAAGAGAGATGAGCATCGCTCCCTCCCAGGTTTATTTGACAAAGAAAACTCGCTGTCGTGTTGTATGGCTCATGTTTCTGATGATACAATTTTATTAAACCCATTTGTATGTTGATACATTTACAGTCCAATACAAGCCAGGTGCCACCAGTTCCAATAGTTGTATTTGGTAACTGTGGGGAATCCGTGGCAGATGAGAAGGAATTTCCAGCCATGGTGATGCCCTTTAGCCAATCCACTGCTGGAAGAAGACTTCCCCACACTGTTGGTCATGGGAGTTGTGTGACCATACTTCACCATCCTGGTCAGTGCAGGTTGGTGAAGGTGGGTGGGTGAGGGGGGGAGTGCTGTCCCAGGACTGGTTCAGAGATCACTCGCCACTGATCTTAGCCCTGGCTGGGATTCAAACTCAGGTCATGGAGTTCATAGCACAGTGTGCGAACCACCGCAGCATCATTCCCCTTGTATGCATTAAATAATTTATATTGCTCCTGCTCCAGCCATGCAATGGTGGGTACATTAACATTTTACACGGACTAACAATATTGACTGTTTCTAACGTTTCAGCGTTTTTGCGAATTTTTGTTCCCTTATATTTTAATTTTCCAGGCATAGCTGACAAAGAAAACATCAGCGGCAATGCCTCGTACGCCTCCGCCAAGCTTCCGAGCAAGGTGCGTGTGTGCTCGTCATTGTTCGAACCGCGTGTCCTCCGTGCCGCGTGTGTTATGAGAAGTCCCGACCACACATCTCCCCCTGCCTCGCTTTGCCGCACAACGGAACAGTTGCCATTAAGTGATAAGAATGCAGCGGAATTGTCGTCATTGGCCATTGTTCCAAAAGGCACGTTACAGAATCGGGCAAAAACTACAATTGTGAAGCAACTCTCAACGGCGCGATATTTGTGTCACAAACATCGTAGAAACTTGAGCCTTGGAGCTCGGCACCATAGAAAAGACACGGAGTGAATTGTTCACTCTGCCATCGGTATTTAAACATTACACAAAGCGATGCCATGTATAGGCCTGACATGTCGCCATTGTGACCGTCAAACTGGCTGGTTTAGTCTGCAACCGTTGTATTGAGAAGATGTAGGTAAAGTGGAAACTTTCCTATTAAATGAACGTCAGACATGGATTAACCGAAAAAGCCGAGCCATTTCATTTCGGCAGATTACAAGTGGTTGCTTTAATCTCATGGAGATGTCAATAATAACAACAACAACACATTCTGGTCACGAAGAGAGCTAATCCTGCATTTATAAATCCGAAATAGAATAGAATAGTAGCACATGCAATGCTTTTCGGATTGTATTTGGTGGACCTATTAATGCCTATGCAGGCCTCGAACATCTGTATGACGCACTTTAAACAACTTGTTGATCGAAATGTCATGGCATTCAGGGAGCTTGACCCTTCTGTGCACGGCGCTGCGGCATGTAGCCATCGCTCGCAAGCTGTAGCCTCGTTAACGCTTCGCATCGTGCTGAAAAAGCCCTGCCAGAGATGGGCCCCCCTTGGGTGGTAGATTAGAATTGTCTCGCGGCAGAAATCGGATAAGAATAAAAACGTGCGGGTATGGGGCCATGCCGTTTAAACAGACTGCCGTTGTGAAATTCACGCCGCTGAAATGATGCCCGATCAGGTCTGTGTTCCGTAACGTCAAAAAACAACAACAGCCTGCGTCACGAACTACCGACAAATACCGCATTCCAAAATTACCACGCACGAAGACAACTTCCAGCACACAAAAAAAGCATTTTGTCACTTTCTCAAAGAGGCCACTTTGGACGGTGTGTTAATTATTAAGTAATGTGAGACCAATATCCACGTGAACAATATCAACTGTGCCTCCAGTCCGGGTTTAAATGGTGAGGAGTCTCCACTGGCGCAACTAACCCCCCCCCCCCTTCCTCCCTCTGATTGCCGCCTCTTAACGTTGCATCGATCGTGAACGGGCGGTGTTGTCTTTGCGGAGCCGCGTCGGTTTCCGATGACCTGGATAAAGCGTCTGTCCCAAACGTGGCGCAATCCGAGCCGCTCTCTGAGCCCGTGGCTCCCAGGTGCCCTCTCACGGTCGGCTCGCGTGCCACGGACGAGCCCGTCACCTTGGCGGTCAATGTCACTGCTGCCCGCGATGGCTGCTTGTGATGTCATTATTTTAGATTTTGTTGTTCATTTAGTTCCGTTTTGTATCCACTTCCCTTGGTTCCACGTTACGATGATTGATGATGATGATTTAGTGAGGGTAGGGTTTGGGATGCTTTTTGACGAAATAGTGTTTTTGGGTTCGGCATTTGATTAAAGTGCACACGGGCAAAAACACACTCCACCTGCGCTGGAGGCACTGAGAATGTTTAAAGTTCTCTCACCATGGCACACACCTCTTACAGTGCTGAAACACTTTCTGACTGACCCGGTATAAACACAACACTTGGCGTGCTTAATGGAATTGTTGCCTGATCTTTTCATGTAGGGCATGTCTGTTTTTCATGGCATCCTTCGAATGGCGCCGTCCCCACCGTGCCCACTTTGTGCCATCGCGGGTATTCGCTCGCAGCACCACAACAGTAGACAGTGCTAACAAATAACCTTAAATGTTGGCATGCGTGTGTGTGGCCTGTACTGTGCAAGGAAGCGGTAGGGTAGCAGTTGTTAGCGCGCTGTGCTACAAACCAAGCGAACCGAGTTTGATTCCCGCTCATGGCCAACACCAGTGACGATTATCCGAATCGGTTCTGGCCTCCCCTAGGTCGACTCAGCTGCAAACGAGTACCTGGTGTAGTGTTTAAATATCGCCACTGGGGAGACAAAGGCGGCCGGGCGTGGTGCTGACCTCCCACGTCCCTCGTGTGCCGTTCCGGCCTTCATAGGTGCTCGCTGTCAGCACTTGCTCCAACAGTCTGCTAAGGCTATATGGAGGATTCTTTGTTTTTGTGTTGTGTATGTAAGTGTGGTAGAGTGGGAGAGCGGTGGAGCCATGATTAGCGCAGTGTGCAACGACCCCGGCACCCGAGTTCAATTCCCGGCCAAGTCCAACGCCAACAACATCAGTGGCAAGTGATATGAGAAATGCTCCCCGGCATCCCCTAGGTTGTCGCAGCCTTAAATGAGCACCCAGTGGAGTTTGAAAATGACGGCACTGGGGGAGACAGAGGCATGGTGCCAGTGAAACCACCCCTCGTGCGGCCAATGTGTTTAGTTTGTTGTCCTCCTCTCGCTCCTCCGATTTGCAGAGTGGCTACTATTGTGCGAAATAAGTTCAACATGCATACATGCCGTCCTAAATAGACGCTAGCTAACTGCAGTCCTGTAAAGGCTATCGGGCATCTGTACCATTGTTGTTGCACTGTACATATGGATATGCGTGTTTTGTATATTTAACCAATGTCCAATAGTTAACCGTAATTAAACCAGCGAGGCACAGGTGCATGTTCTGTGTGCTCGCTTGAGTTGTGACCTTTGTGCAGCATTATCACCGCCACTACAGCTCTTAAAGGGACGGATATTTCTGGAGGATAAATATAAGAGATAGGCAAGTGCTGCTGGATAAGAGCATTTACCTTCAGATCTGAACGTGAACTGACAAGATATTTAGTACGAACAGTTTTACAGATGTTTGTCTCGTGGTGAACTTTGAGCGTTTTTTTTTTAATTCAGATTTTCTAGGTTGCAGAGAACGTCAATAGCACTCGTCTTGCATTGATGGGTGAGTTTGTTGTGTTTTCAGAATACTGGTTTGAAAATATATATCTTGGTTTTCAAAGTTTCTCGAGGTTTTTCTCCATGGATTTAACATTAGTTATATTTCTTAGATGTTTATATCGGTTCCCAACACACACCAGCAGTGCCACTGGCTGTGAACGTGCAGTCATGCAAAGTTTACCAAACTTTTGTTCGGAAAAAGCTTTAGAAGGCACCAATGGCAAGACGCAGGCTTTTGTGCAGAGTGAAAAGGCTGCTCACGTGATGCTTTCATGAATATCCTTGCAAGCGAATGTATCCTGAACCAGCACCTGATCACCGGTCCCATTAAGGAACTTTCAGGATTGAATCTAGATACGACATTCCATCAATCATCCCACTACGGCCCTGACAAGTAGAAATTCAAATAAAGCCCGGCGTGTCATTTCAGAAACATCGAAAAGACCATTATTGACCACAAAGTAGTGAACCACTGTTAATTCTATGTAAGTCTGTGGGTTATTATGTCTATGAGGTTTATGTGAGTGTGACTCTCAGTGTGAGATCACACAGTCGTGAACAATTCTGAACTCTGAAAACTCAACGAAGGTATTGAAGCAATACACTGCACATCAACCAAAGCAGTTTCCTGAGTAACTCATCTGGACGTCGAGCGAAAAATGCGGTTCATCAAGCCAGACGAAGAAGAATCGAGCAAGTGTTCACTGTTCACACACATTGAAGATATCACCGGTGGAAATAGGCTTTACCCTTACTGGCAATAAAAACAGGTGTTTAGATGTCCAAACACCAAATAGCTACCTATGGCAAGGCATCAAAGACAATGCGTATATTAGCACGGCATGTTTGTGTGCATGTTTTTTTTCCCCACAAATATATGTGTGGCGAATGCACATTTTTTGATGCCTTGCAAAAGGTAACTATTTGGTGTTTGAACACCTTAACATCCGTTTTATTGGCAGGAAGGCTGAAACCTATTATTATATTTTTTTTCTCACGTCATTTTGATACTGGCAAATAAAAAAAGGGTGCCTGAGATAATCACCGGTGGCATTTGTTTTAGCGGAGTCTCAGCCCAGGGATCTGTTCGTGCGGCGGCTGCAATGTATCTCGAGAGATGTTGAGCCGCCGTCACTGGGGGCGACGTTTCGCTGCGTCAAGGGACGCCGCCTGCTGAGTTCACTGCTGCACTTCGCTGGGGCGGGATTCGATTGGGAGAAGAGAAAAACCCTCCACAATGCAATGACAGAAGCAGCGCTGCCACACGTGTGTGTGTGTGTGCTCGCAAACTGCTGCAACAAAAACAAAACCATGGGCAGAGTTTGCGGGGGGGGGTAGGTGGGGGCAATGCCCCTCCAAAACTGGACACCATTTATTTTCAGTAGTTTACATTTAATGTGAGGAACAAAGCTAACCCCCTGCCCCCCCCCCCCCCAATATAGAAGTCAAACTCCGCCTATTTAAGGCCTCGACACAGCGGCATTGGGTCTCTCTCTGCATGTGTGTCTGTCTGTGTCTCCGTGTCTGCGTTTAAGTCTCTCTCTCAAATTTAGTTCTACCTGATGACGGTTGCTTGTGTTGCAATCGAAACGTCGTACTCTATTATTTAATTTATTTTCTTTCTACGTGACTTTACCGAAAGAACCAAAGAGTAACACACTTCTTGTTTAACGTTGTCTTATTAAGAGCATCGCTCTACCATTATCTAATGCACATTACGTATGGGTGAGGCGCAGCTTGTTCATTTATGTAACTCTGCTTATTACGTGTCGTACAAAAATTGTGCAATCGCTGCAACGCGTCGCTCCGAGGCGTTTTTGAAACAACAGGTAACCCAGGACCACTGCTGAAAGTGATCGTCCACCAAAAAGCTGCCTGCTTCATCATCGCGCCTCACTCTCTGACTCCGCTCAGATATTGAAAATAAAATAAACCCCAGTCGCTTCTTATCTGTTTGAAATTCTCTCACC